GTGGGCCCGTGACCCCCAAAGGTGGGGCCTTCCTGCTGCGTCCAGACAGCCCCACAAGGAAGGGGGCAGGGTCCGGCCTTCTCTCCTCTGGCTCCTTCCCCCCTACGACGGCGCAGCCCAGTGCCGACCCCCTCCCGCCCTCCGCAGAGATCGTTTCTCTTCTGCTTGGCTTGATGGTGTCTGCTCAGGGTTTTACGTTTGCACTGCGCATCTCCGGCGTGCACATGAATCCTGCCAGCGTGAGGACGCTGCGGACCGGCCCGCAGACCTTGCCGTCCACAACATCACCGACACGCAGCTCACCTCCCACTCCTCTGCCAGTCGACGTCCTCTCCCCTTGATAACCACCTCCGTGGCACCCTCGTTCCCAGCTCACCTGCCCAGCCGCAGCCCTGCAGTCCCTGCGGGGGAACACCTGTCGTCCCGCCGTGGAATGTGCTTGGCGGTCTCTCGGAGATCTAAGTGCACACCTGTCTGCACACCTGAGCAGTCCCACTCCTGGGAATGACCTGAGGCCGATACACAGGGAGACTCCAAGTTCCTGCGGACATGGGGTCGAAGTCTGTGCGTTCCGTCCAGCAGCGATTTCATATCACGTCCTGGGAGATTTCCAAAAACCCGCGCTCGCTCGTTTGAGAACGCGAGCTTGTCCCCAGGATGTGGGAGGTGGCGACGGCTGGTCCTCCATGGTGGACACGTCAGCAGGGCAGAGGGGCCGACTGCTGGCAGACCAGGAGCCTGCGGGGCCTGGGGCCATCCCAGCGTGGGGGAGCCGGTGGGAGGGGCCCGCCAGGTGTGCGTCAGCTTCCCAGGGGCTCCCACCAGGTTTCACACAAGTCACCGTGCCAGGGGTTAGATCTGAGGTCCCTTCTGGGGCTTGCCTGGGCGCAGTAGCTCCCTCCTCCCCCCCACCTTGGTCAGGCACCTGCCTGTCTTCCATGGGGGCTGCCTGGGTGTGGTGTTGGCCAGGACAGGGCAGGCCACCGCGTGTAGAGGCGTCTGGACATGTTCGTCTTGAGAGAGGCCTGCTGCCTGCTGGTGGTGAGGGCCCTGCGGGCCAGCAGAGTTCTTACCTCGGTCCCAGCCGCGACGCTGTCGCTCGCGGTCACTTGTCAGCTGTACCACCAGGCTGCGGGCTGGGGCTGTTCTGGGCCCTGGGAGGCAGCAGCGACCACATAGCCCACTGATCCCACACTGCTCCTGTCCCAGCCCTGCGGTCCCAGTGCACCTGAGGCGAACTCAGGCCTACGGCGGCCTCTTCCCAGCTGCAGCAGCTTGAGAGCAATCTGCCTGATTCCTGGTGCCGACAGCAGGCTTTTCTCCTCCCAGCCCGGGCTGGTGCGTGTGCTCCCTGCAGGTGTGTCCTCGTTGCCCTCCGGCCCGAGCCACCTGTGGCCTCTA